TATTCCTACCTGCGAATTACCTAAAGCTCGTGGCTACTCTAGGGCATGACTACATCTTGGTGTCACTTATTGCAGTAGTTCAGCTATGTACGTTGAAATGTAAACTGAGAGAGGGAGAAACTGAGTCTAGGTCAGTGCTGAAAACACTCCCTTAAGGCATGAGAAAACAGCTGGGAGGAGCTGCACGCTGTACAGGACAAGCAGAATATCAGCTCTGCAATCACTTCGCACTCACAGTTTGCTCAGGCATGTCTGAATCAGGGAAACATTTCCAATGAAACTTTAATTGCTGATACAAGCCTGCAAAATATTTAGATTTTGGAACTGCTTTCTCACAGATAAGCCTTTCAGCAACAAAATGTAGTAGTTAGCACTTGCTTTACATGCACAGACTCTTCCCATGGATTTGGATGAGACACCAACATTTGGGCAAGTATTATTAATACCTGAATTCTGATTTGCCTGAACCCAAGAACCAAGATGCAGGGCAGATTTCTCAAATCCTTTATGCATGCAAGCAACAAAATTCTGCATAGCTCAATATTTTGATACAGAAACTCCTACCCTAGGACCTAGCTCTGGGGAATTTTTTTCCTTCTGTCTCCTGAGCTAATAGAATAAATGTAAATAAATTTTCTGATGAGTATTATGAATACCAAATACTCAGACATTTCATCTAACACTGGAACAAATGCTGGTAACATTCAATTGCTGGTAGCAAAAGGAGTAAACAATTAAAATGCTTTTCTCATTAATTATTACTCAGAATTGTGCAGTGTTGTACTTACAAGTGCTGAAGAAAGCAGTTCGCTGCAGGCAGGGGATGCAGAGACAATGTAAGGAGAAAACAATGCCTTGCTTTCAGTTTTGCTATTCATACTTGTTAGCTGTATTCTCTAGTGTTTTAGCAAAGCTCTGAATCCAAGAGGCATTCATGGAAATGACGAACATGAGGCAGGTGCCGCTACCACTCGTGTTGATTGCTTCACAGAATTTTAAAATCGGACTATGCATTTGGTGTGCTAGTGGAAAAACTTAGTTTTGAGAGTAAGCATGCTCTGCAGTTAACGTATTTAGGCAAAGCACCTCAAAGTAATATGCCTCATTGTCAGGTTCCTGGCACGACGTTTGCATGAAAGTCACCAAACCAAATCTCACCTAGAGATCAAATTGCCTGATATAATATTAAAAAAGTCTCCCTTTTCTCAGCAGTACGCTGGTATCTTTTTTTTTTTTAAAAAAAAAAAAAGCTTTCACATTGTAATAAGCCATTGCCCCTTTAGATCTGCTAAGCAGCTGTTGCTTTATAACTCCTGGCAATAATGAATCTTGACTGGGGCTTCTATGAAATAAGGAAATGTCAAGCATTACGCACAGACGCACGCCTTCCCCTCTAAAATAGTGCAACATTTTTTTTACCTTCGTCAAAACAATGCTGAATTCAATAAAATGCATAGAATTAATTAAAACTATAGAATCTTACACCACGTAATTTAAAAATGAAATAAAAGCCGGCATAACCCTCTCTGTGCACAAGCTTGGAACAAGGCAGAGATAGCCAAGTCCCTCACAGAGGTGACCTCACTGTCTCCCTGTGGCTTTGTTTTCATTTAGCTCTGTAAAAAGACTTGTATGCTGCTTGCAGAGGGAAGAGGAGAATTATTCACAGGTTCCTTACCTCTGCTGCTGGCATACAGGATCACCAGGGCGACCACTGCACAAGTCATGAGGAGCAGCAAGACAGCCAGACCGATTGCCACAAAGCTCCAGGATTTCCTTCCAGATTTTGTTGATTTTTCCACAATATCCATTTGACTTTCTGATTTCCCCATTATCGTAACTCTAAATTGAGGAGGGGAGGGTAAAAAAGAATTAACAGCACAGCTAAATCAATATAGGGATAAATGCATGACAAATGAGGGAGAAAAAGGAAGCAGGAAAAAAGCAAAGATAGAGAAAGAAAACTTCCAAATTATTACATGTATTTGTCCATTTGATTGTCCACAGATTTGCCAACCTCATTCTCCATCTCCTGTGCCTTCCAGATTGCCTGCACTCAGGGTGTGCAGCTGGGGGGCTGTTCTGGGCTACACTACCCTAGGTTCTCAGAGGTGCAGTGTCACAACTTCAGGAGCCTGCTTTGGGGAAGTATGGAAAAGTCTCATGACCAGGTTGGGCAACTCCTTTCTTCCAAACAGGGAAGGAGGGGAAAAACTGCCTCCTTCCACTCCCCACTTCGAAAGTGTCTTGCTGTTTCAAAGAATTTTCCTCTTTTTCCTCTGTGGATAGGAGTAGGTCTGCAGAGCTCTATTAACAGCAGTAGAATCCAAAAAGAGATCCTTCCAGGTGCGAGTGCCTTTGAGCTGTGTCTGCTCCGTCCTTAGCACAGATGAAGGGTTTGAAAAGTAGAAGGCTCCTAGAAGACGTGTGAGCTCCCAGGTCTGCAGGAGTTTGTGACCTCCAGCTTCTCAGTCTTCTCAGAGCCATGCTCAAACTTCAGAGCTCAGCCCTGCGCGGTTCCCAGCTCCAGGCAAATGCTCCTGAGCAGCAGGAGGAGGAGGAGGGGTTGCATCGCAGCAGCAGACAGGGCTGTGCTCTCCGAGCCTGCAAGCAGCACAAGCTCCACTCTGCTGCAGCTTCTCCTAAGTTTCCTCTAGCTTTCCTGAAACCTGCCGCCAGGTTATTTGGCTGCTGTGCTCACAGAATGGTGAGCAAAAAATAGGTGCAAACCTATTGAAACCCTCTGGCTCTGAGAGTGCTGGCAGCTTTTGGGTGCCATATATGGGAACAGCTTCTTGTTTGAAAACACACCGATTTATAGATTGTGTCAGGCTATGCCCAGAATTCTTTTATGCTACTGCTTGGAAATCAATCTGATAACAACTGGGAAAGACAGGAAAAGCAAAGGCAGGATAGGCATGTGATTTCCCTTGGGTTTTATTTTATTCTTTTCCAGAACTGACTTTGGAATGAGAGAGAAGCAGGTTGGGTTTTGTTTTTCTTTTTTTCTCCTGCAGGCTGGTTTATTGAGCTAGTGTAACTCGCTGCCAAAGTTCACACTATATAAATTTTAAGGTTGGTACCTCTCTTGACCCGAGTGCTTCACCAGCACTCCAAGCTTTGTGTGTATTGAGGGGGAAGCGCTGAGAGCAGAGCAGGGATTTCTTTGCGGCAGTCCTGTTTACTGGGAACGTACACGCAGAATGTTCCAAGAATGTGAACGCAGACCTGTTTCCGTGAATGGGGTAGGAAACAATGAATGCCAGTTTCTTCTGCCAGGAGTCTGAGCCTCCTCTTCTAGTCAGTGCTCTGCCTCACAACCCCTATGAAAATTTGCCTTTTTTTTCCCAGAGTCATGTGATCTTAGGCTTCTGTCAAGTGTGAAGGCAGCTATTCTCATCCCACCATCTGAAGAGGAGTATAAGTACACAAAGACCTGAAAGAAATCGATGCACTTGCAGATCCTGGGCGTCCATATGTGAAAACTAGCTACAGAAAGGAAGGTTGCTTGTAAGGACGAAGCCATGCATTTAATGATGAGTTAAGTGGTCTCTTATTTCTGTTTGCAGGAAGTTCTACATCTAACAAAAGATTAGTTTCCTATATATGTGAGTCTTCCTTATTGCTGAACAGTTTTACTGTTACCTTACAATGTAGCTGGCTCTGAGGAAGGTCTACCTGGTTAAGGTCCATATTATTGCAGCAGACAAGTGCCTTGCAGGATTTAATGTAGCTATTCTTGTAACATGGCTATAAGATATTGAAGGGCATTATTTTGCCCATTTCACAGGTGGGGAATCAAGATGCCCAGAATCTAAGGGCTTTACTCCTGCTGCTTTCTACGCATGCCTGTTGTAGCTGTTGTGACTAACGTGGTCTCTGGGGCTTGGAATGCTGTGAGTGATTCGGACTGCTGGCTACTCAGGGCACAGCCCCTAGCCCCCCATGTAATCAAGAGATAGAGGACTTACAAAGTCCTAAGTAACATCTGTAATAAATGATTTGAGCGTGGCCCAAAGTGACTTAATTGAGGTCATATATGAGCACCAGGAATGTAGATCTCTTATGTCCCCAGAAAATTCATAGATTCCCTTAAAAAGCATTAACCTAACCATAAAGAAGATACCTTTTTTTTTTTAAAAAAAAAATTTGGGAGGAAGTGGGAACCATATCAAGAATCTCTTCCTGTATCTCTAATGGCTTCGCTTCCCTGTAGAGCTGAGGAGAAGGTGTACTGTTTCCAATAGGAAGTACAAGGAACTTTCGGTGTAGCAATGTCATTGGCTTGCATTTTCTAAAGGTTATGTTAGGCTAATCTGAACATTAGACTGGAAAGTCAGTAGTGACAAATATTTTGTATTTCTTTTACTCTTGCAGTTTAGCTCTGAAATAAACTGCTTAATATTTGTAATGAGAATACTTCTGCCATCACTTCTCAGGCTGGTATCAGTGACAAATGGTTTAGGTAGTGCTGAGCCTGTTTGGGTTAGAGAATGTTGGAAAAGGGAGAAAATGGATTAGTAAGTTTATCAAGTTCCTTCAGGTCCTATTTTAAATTATTTTTTTTTAACCTGTTTTTCTATGCTAAGTCAGCATCTGGGTGAGCAATAGCAGTGCACAACCCAAAGCAGTCATCCAGAAGTTTGCAGTTGTTGCAGAGAAGTAAAGGAAGTGCCTGACTATTAATACCATTTTCCATTGGGAAAATTGTTTTTATCCTCTTAAGATTCAAATTCAGACTGATTGGCAAACACAGCATATAATTTAAGTGTCTTAGGTATATATGCATTGTCTTTTCCAGGCAAGTATAACCAAGTCAGCTGGAAGCCAGTAGGATGTGCCCGGCAGTGAGGCAAAGCCAATACAGGCGCTGAATGCAATCACAACAGCCTGTAGGCTTAGGAGCAATTGTTGCAACTAATGAACGTACCATCAGTGTGTGCTTTCAGACAATTACACAGAATATACAGAAAGCAGATAATAAAATCCCACGTGCTGGACTAAAGAAGCTGAAATTGGTCATTGTTCTTAAAGTATTGGTGAAGTAAACCACTGAGCACTTTTGCTGAAGAAACACACTGGGAAAATTTGATGGGGACATTCCTGAAGAGAATCCTTTCCTACCTTTTAACTCAGAAGGAAATTTTTTTTTTCTTCTACTTGATGGATCTATTGGCAAATTCCCCCTCTAAGGAGGGACAAGCCGAGCTAATATTAAAGACAGTCAAGGGAGCTGTAATTATGTATGACAGCAGAATTATGCCCTTAGTATAGACATGCTGAGAGTGGGAAGACTTGAATATTTTGGAAAGGACTTTTATGGGTGTGAGAGGATCTTGCGACATGATACATTTCTGGTTTGTGCTGAAGTTTGTGAGGGGAGACATGAGCTGTAAAATACCCATTGATAGACACAGAGATAGCAATACTAGCCAGTATGATTTTGATTTAAGAATGATGTATCTTGCTTTTATTAGATGTTTCTCTTCATGATGGGAAATCTGGTAGTGAGTATTTAAATTGCTGTGCTGTAAAAAAGTAAAAAAAAAAAAAAAAGTAAATGCTTCTCTCCTGTATGAGGAGAAGCACCAGCAACTGTAAAGGACATATTTGCAGAATCATTAATTTTTATTGTCTTGAGCAACTTTGTGTGGTCACAGAAATAGAGTAATCTGTCATTTTGACAGCTCCCTCCTAGTGCAGTGAGGTCTCCGTTCCGTTCGTTGCTTCTAAGGGGAAAGCCCTATTTTGGTTTCTGACACAGTCTCAGTATCACCTTGTAGCCTGTATGGCAAAGGAGATCTGATGCAACGTGGAAGTTGGGTGGTTTTTTGTTATTTTTTTGTTTGTTTGTTTTGGTTTTGTTTTTTTTTCCTAAATCTTACATTCTACTAAATTATTCATAAAATTTTTCTTTCTGCAGTGCATTTCAACCAGTAATTGCTAAAAGAAATTCAGTTCCTTTATACCCTAATGCAGAAACCGAGACATAGGAAAGTGTTGTGACTTGTCAAAGTTACAATGGCAGTCACTGCCTGCAGAAATTTTCATGTACTAGTCTTTCATCTGCTGGTCTAGTTCACAATCCATTAGACCCTTATTTTACAAATCGGCTTAAAAAGTGTAGTCTCTATTTACAATAATGTGAAGGAGAACACTCATCTGGGAATTTCTTCTTCCAGAAACTGAGAAACAGTAGGGGGTTTCAGTTATTGGAAAACAGGCTCTTTCCCCAAAGCAATATAGATGCAAAACATATGAAGCAATGAGGTATTTGTTGTTTTTATTGGGCTACTTTGAAAGGATTTTCCCCTTTTTACTTGCTTAGTAACTAAAGGAGGTTCTTCTGTTGCTGGAATTTGGATTTGTAAAGAGCTTGCAATGGCACGGTTGCAGTTTTGAAAAAGCTTCAAATCACAGAATTTTACAGTTGGATCCTGGGGGGGTGAGGCCTGAGCAGCCAATCTGGACGACTGCCTTCTTTTGCGATGTTTTTACTGTGAACTTTAAGACCCCACATATGACTATTTACTAAAGAAGTGCTTCCTCAGGCATAAGACATCCCAAACCACACAGAACTACTGCAGTTCCAGTATAGAGAGAGGGACCTGGTTGGGAGGTTTTATGCAATGCTTTTTTTTCTTGGGAAAGTTTCTCAAGTGTGGGAGGAATTTATGGTCAGAGAGCTCCAGACCTGAAGAGCAAATAGTCGAGCCCGTGCCTCACTTGCCTGGGAGGCTGTACTTGATTCAGGGCTGTGAATATTTTTGCTTTCATATTTCCTTTGGAGGATCTGGAATAACCATGGCTATACCTGGGACACTGTGCTGGGAGAAGATAGTATTCAAGGATACTACTGCCTTTCTCAGAAGTTTAGTTGCTATGTCTTAGTTGCCTACAATGTCAAACTGACCTCCCAACTCTTCGTTTAGGAGGCATTGATTCTAAAGATAAAAATTGTGAAGGGTTGTTCGTTTCTTTTCTCTGTATATGTTTGCTTTGCCATCGGTGACGGGTACCTCAAAAACC